AGAAGAAGAAGAAGAAGAAGAAGGAGAAGGAGAAGGAGAAGGAGGAGAAGGAGGAGAAGGAGAAGGAGAAGGAGAAGGAGAAGAAGAAGAAGAAGAAGAAGAAGAAGAAGAAGAAGAAGAAGAAGAAGAAGAAGAAGAAGAAGAAGAAGAAGAAGAGGAGGAGGAGGAGGAGGAGGGGGTAGGAGGGAGATGAAGATAATTATTTTCTCCTCATTTGATATGCCCCCCGATAAAGAGGACCCAACTTTTATTCTAGGAGATTTGGGTAAAGGAAGAAAACTCAATCGTTCATGTTCACCCGATGCTCGTTTCTTCAGAAATGCTGGACTGTTGGCCCAGCTATGCCAATGTTACAAAATTAACCAGGGTGACAGTGTGCTGTGCCCAACTTTGGAGTACCTGAAATGAGACAAGATTGTAAGAATAAGAGGCACACGGATTGCACGACTTACTTTTGCTAGGCTGGCTGTGAATAGAACACATTCAAAAAGGTCTCCCATTCTCTGAAGAAATTTGTCCACGTGTGGCCGCTTTAACACATAAACCTGAAAGTGGAGATAGAAGGCAGGCACTGAGATTCAAAAATGTGCAAACAGCTAAGGTTCATGATCCTGGAAGAATCAATTTATACTTTGATCAAAACAAGAGGCGAAGTGAAGTCCCGCTGCGTCGTTACAAAGGACTAGCTAGTGCAGTTTTATTCCTGTATAAATCAATGAGGCACTACAGGAAAAACAGTATAAACTTAAAGGGACGCAATTTTAAAATTAAAGGATTGTTAGCCTATCATACCAACTCAAAAGATTTTATTCGTCGGCAAAAAGAATGGATGAGTTCAATACTCTCTTTTTCACGTCTTCAAAAAGAGGAAGGATTTTGGTCTCAAAATGAAAATTTCATTTTCATTTCGTTTCATTTTCAGAATGGCAAAATCTCGGATTTGTGAATGGAATGGATTTTCATGGCTTTTGCCATTAAAACTGTTGATAGGATTGTAGCTAAGATACTTCAGTAAATAATTATAGCTAATGCTTTAATAAAACCTATCCACACTAACTCAAGGAACGTTATTCCTGCTACATGATTATTGAACATACAGATACAGCTAAGTTCTCGACTTACAACCTCAACTGAACTCAAAGTTTTTGTTCTTAAGCAAGGCAGTTGTTGAGTGATTTTTGACTCATTTTACGGCCTTCTTTGCTGCATTTGTTACATGAATCTCCGCCATTGGTGAAGTGAATCCTATGGCAATTTAGCAAGCCCAGCTTCCTGCATGGACTTTGCTTGTTAGAAGCTGGTTGGGAAGTTTATAAGTGGTGATCACATGACCCCAGGACACTGCAACGGTCATAAACACATCAGTTGTGAAGTGTCTTAATTTTGATCACGTGACCATGGATGGGGATGTTGCAACAGTCATAAGTAGGTGCTGGTGTAACTTCGAACAATCACTAAATAAATGGTTGTAAGTCAAGGACTACTGTACTGACTTAAGACCGAGGCAGAATAGAAATAAAACAGAACAGAATAGGATAGAATAGAATAAGAATTGAAAGGAAGGGGGAAGAGGAAGGGAGAAGGGGAGAGGACAGAAGAGAAAACTTTGTGCTCACTAAATTGCACAATAGGAGAGAGAGAGAGAGAGAGAGACAAACATTGTTAGTATTATGTCAGCAAGTAGTTTGGTTTTGTATTTGTTTCATTGACTTTTTGAACTGGAGGTAATCTACTCTTGAATTACAACATCCTTAGCTGCCGTCTCCTCTTTTAGAAAAGTGCGAACAAGACGCGTGGACTTGGGACTTCCCAGCATCCTCTTTATCGTGTTGTGGCTACGTCCCAGTGCAAGTAATCAAGGATAGGCCATTAAGATTGCACACAGCCTATCCTGGATTACTTGAACCCGGTCGCAGCCCTTCCTAGAAAGGCGCACCAAGAAGGCTGTCCTTTAAAAAAAGAATAGATTAGATGCAAAAACACCATCACCTACTAAACCCATGCACAACTGTTCACAGTTTATCGTAGTTTTACACAGTCTCTCTGCCATTTCTAAACGGAAAAAAAAGTTAAACGGTTGGCAATTACAGCTAAGTCCTACACTTACAGCAGTTTACTTAATGACCAAAGTTACAATGGCATTGAAAAAAGTGACTTATGACCCCTTTTCCACAGTTACGGCCTTTGTAGCATCATGTGATCAAAATTCAGATGCTTGGCAACTGGTTCATATTTATGACCATTGCAGTGTCCCTGGGGGGGGGGGGTCACGTGATCCCATTTTGTGACCTTCTGACAAGCAAAGTCAAGGGGGAAACCAGATTCACTTAACAGACATGTAATTACTAACTTAATAACTGCCGTGGTTCACTTAACAACTATGGCAAGAAAGGTTGTGAAATGAGGTAAAACTCACTTAACAAATGTCTCACTTAACAACATAAATTTTTGGACTCAATTTTTGTCGTAAGTTGAGGAGTACTTTCCTTCATAAAGTGTTGCAGTCATTTGAATAACCACGTGACCCGGTTCGGTTTTACAACAGTGGTTAAGTGAATTCAGATTCTCCCTCCCCAAAAAATTTTCTTGCTGGAAACATCACTTGGTTGCAGGATGCTGCAACTTGTTGAAAATGCAAACCTGTTGCCAAGTGCCCAAATTGAGATCACATGACCATAGCAGTGGTGAGACAGTTTGTGATGGTTGTTAAGTGCAAATTCAAGACATAAATCACTTTTTGGGTGGGAGGCTGTTGCAACTCCGAACTGTCAATAAAGGTAATAAATTGAGAATTACCTTATATTCTTTCTTTTTTCACCATCTATATTAAACATAAGATAATACACATATCTATTTGCATGTTCAAACAAATGTAACTCTCATTTAACCTCAAGTGATGAAAAAGGTAGTAGTTTCTCCTGCTTGAGCAGGGGGCTAGACTGGAAGACCTCCAAGGTCCCTTTTCCTTCTATTCTATTTCTCTTCTATAATGTAGTTTATTATCTTATGAATATTCCTTGCTCCAAATTAGAATCTCAAAGCATTTTCAATCAGAAGGATGTTCTGTCCGAATACAATTCTTAATGATACCTAAATGTATTCAATGCATTGCCCTTCGGGACGCGAATAGTTTCTTTTATTGCTCATAGTTAAAAAGACTACTTTAACAGATACTATGCTCTTTGCACTGAATTTTGATTTTTAAAAATTATGATCCATCTTTGACCCATTTTTACTTTAGGGCACCCATTATGATTGTTGAAAAGGAGGATAAGATTTTTGGATTACATCACCCAAAATATTTAATGGAGCAAGAAGGAAAGCAGGTTTTTGAACTGAACTGAAATCCTTAATTTTCTTATACTTCAGAAGGCTGTCAGAAAGACATATAGGTGATCCCCAACTTATAACCACAATTGAGGTTATAATTACTTCTATTACTCAATGAAACATCCGTTAAATGAAATTTATCCCATTTTACAACCTTTCTTGCCATAGTTAAGTGTATCACTGCAGTTTTCAATTTAGTAACACGGCTGTGAAGTGAATTTGGCTTCCCCGTTGATTTTGGATGCCACGATTAGGTAACAGAAAGTTACCTAATCTCCAAATTTTGATCATTTGACTATGGTCATAAGTACGAAAAATGGTCATAAATCTTTTTTTTCAGTGCCATTGTAACTTTGAATGGTCACTAAATGAACTGTTGTAAGTCGGAGAATACTACCTGAATATGAATTCACCCTTTTTAGATGCATGTATCTGAGAAACTGCACCTAGAACTAACATCTGAACCTCTGGAAGTATGATGGTCAGCAGGTAAGTTACCTGGATAAACTATGATAGCCAACAAAATATCTTGATGTGATGAATCAATTATTGTTACTGTTTAAAGTAACACTTTTTTACTGTCAGTTTGAACTGAAATAGCTTTGTAGTTGAAACTTTGCAATCCGAAAACTCACTAATTTTAACCTGTCGATTAACTCCAAAGCTTCATCCTCTGCCAAGCTAACTTGACCGTTGTGCAAAGCAATCTGCCACTTCCATATAAAAAGGCAAGCAGTACTTACCTGATGTATAGTTCCGTCAATTTCAACAGGAACGATGAAATCAGCATTGCTAATTGGCTAGAAAAGTGAAAACAAAACGATCTTTAGGAAAAGAATTATTTGTAGTCTGCAGAGAGAAACTTAACAAAATCATAAAACAGCCCACATGGCATCAATCTTCACACTTCTGGGAACAACTGGACTCTTTCACACTTAGCCAAGAGATTGGGATTATTCTCTTCATGTATTGAAGAGAGGCATTCCAGTGATTGGCTAAGATATATTTGTTTAATAATATAGGAACAGCAGATTTCTATACGCTCTTTAAAAAAAAATCCAACAAAGAAATTGAAAGGTGAAGCAGACTGTACCTTCTTTTCAAGCAAAAGGGAGATTCCCCACCACCCCAATAAACGGAGAAAAAGCATATCCCATACCTGTTACACTCCCAACAGAATTAGTTACTAGAAAAAAAACTATGCTTTGCTCTGGGAAGTCCTGGCATTCGGAGAAAGATGCCAGACTCTAGTAGTTCAATGTAACCTCATGGATCTCTTCGGGATTAATGTCTTTTCTTTTCTTTTTAATTTCCACCAGGGATTCCTTTCCCTTTTCACTGGCAACACTGGGGGTGGGGCAGTGGGGTGGGGGGAAGCAGATTGTATCAGCTCTTCCTGGGATTTGTCCAGAGAGAAAGCAGCTGGCAGACAGGCAGCCTTTGAATGTGTTCCTTTTCTCTAAGAGCACAAGAATATTTTGGAAATCTTCTCAAAAGGTTTTCCCCCTGAGTTTTAAAGGGGAATGCAACCCTTTTCCCACAGGAGGATTTTTTTAAACAATTCTACAATATTCATCCGTTAAAAAAGAAGGCGAGTCTAAAATGCGATTCCAGGCTGGTACAGGTAGTCCTCAACTTACGGCCACAGTTGTGCCCAAAACTTCCATTGCTAAGTGAGGCAGCTGTTAGGTGAGCTTTCCCCCATTTTGCAACCTTTCTTGCCACAGTTGCTAAGTGAATCGCTGCAGTTGTTCAGTTACCAACACGGTTGTTAACTGAATCAGGCTTCCCTCACTGACTTTGCTTGTCAGAAGGTTGCAAAAGCGGATCACTTTTTGTCAGTGCTATTGTAACTTTGAACAGTCACTAAATGAACTGTTGTAAGTGGAGAACTACCTGTACTTGCATACAACTGAATGCAGCAAGAATTGTTTGCAACACGTTTGAGAATCCAACAGGAGATTGTCATTTTCAAATGTTTTCTTATCTTAAGAAGTAAGAACTTAGGAGATGTGGAAAAAAGAAAAACTAATATGTTCCCTGCTTGCTTATTGGTTTTACTCGCAGACATGTTGTTCTCCAAAGTCCGAAGAAATTGTCTCTCTTGCTTTAGTTGTGTCCTGCCTTTATTGTGTTTACAAATAACTCAAGGTAGCAAACATATCCAGCTTCCTACTCTTTTCCTCACAACAACAATCCTTTGAGGTGGACTGGGCTGAGAGAGAGAGAGTGATTGGCTCGAAGTTACCAGTAGGATTTCATGGCTAAGGCGGGATTAGAACTCACCGTCTCCTGGTGATTGGCCCAAAGTCACCCAGCCCACTTTCATGGCTAAGGCGGGATTAGAGCTCACCGTCTCCTGGTGATTGGCCCAAAGTCACCCAGCCCACTTTCATGGCTAAGGCGGGATTAGAACTCTCAATCTCCCGTGTTCTAGCCTGGCACCTTAACCGCTGGACCAAAATATCTCTCAATGGAAGACCAGGCCTTAAAGCCGTTTCAGAACAGCCTTGCTTGGGGTCCATAACCCAGACCGTACATGGGTAGTCCTCATTTAACAATACTATAACTGGGATGGGAAGCTATGTCATTAAATGACAGGGCCATGAGTCGGAAACAAAACCCCCACGTGACTAACGCTACGTAGCAGTGGCGGTCCCAGGAATCTTAGTTGCTCTTGTTAAGTGAGGGCCATGTAGGTCATTAAATGAGGATCACGTGACCAGAGGAGGCTGCAATACTGAACTGGCTCTCTATTATTCCTCCGCCTCCCTCATTTAATGTGTGCACTATAAAGACCTCTCACCAGATGGCAGTACCAGACTGACCTTGGTCCAAGCTCAGAAACTATGCAGAATCTGTTCAGAAGAGGGAGGAGAGATTTTGAGGGGTTCAAGGTTGCCGGCTAGACTGGGAAGCTTAAAAAAAACCAAGGAAGGAGACACTGGCAAACCATTTCTGTATTGTTTCTAAGAAAGCCACGGGGCATAAAATACCCCGGAGCTGAGCTCAGCTCGAAGAATTTAGGTAAAAAAGAGATGTTAATGCTTTGATTAAATGGAACACGAGAATGGAATTGTACCTGATCGGGCTTGAGGTCTCCTAAAAGATCATATTATACGGGTAGTCCTTGACTTACAACCACAGTTGAGCTCAAAATTTCTGTTGTGAACAGTGAAACATTAGCTTTCTCCCTTTTTACGACCTTCCTTCCCGCAGTTGTTTAAGTGGATCATTGCAGTTCTTCAGTTAGTAACACGGTTGTTAAGTGAATCTGGACTTTGTCAGAAGGTCGCACAAGGGGATCGCATGGTCCCGTTACACAGCAACCATCATAAATATGAGTCACCTGCCAAGCCTCTGAATTTTGATCATGTGAGCATGGGGTTGCTGTAAAGGTTGTAACTGTGAAAACTGGTCATAAGTCACTTCTTTCAGTGCTATTGTAACTTCAAATGATCACTAAATGAACGGTTGTAA